AACATATCGATGTGCTTGTGCCCAAGATTTATCATCTAACTCCACCATTTTAGCTTTGCCTATTGGTTTTCCAAGACTTTGAAAAATATATATGTAGGCAGAGTCAGTATGTTGCATACCAATATTTCTCGATGGTCTATTAAATCTTATTTCAACGTCTTCCAAATAATGAGAACAATATATCATACACTCTTTTGCTAAATATTCTTCAGCAATAGAACCTTTCGGATAGTGTTTGTTACGACAATAAAACTTTAACCTCCAAAAAAATCTATTGCATAATGCATTATCATATGTGTAATATAGAGAAACAAACCACATGTGTCTATGTCAACACACATTATCTGATAATTTTGTATCTTGTTATATTATATTACATATGATTATGATCAAATCAATAATTTATTTAATATCAATGATTAAATAATAGTTTTTCAACTATAAAAATATGATAAAAACTAAAATCCAAAATAAAAAAAATAATACCTAATATTTATATATAAATATAAAAGTTATAGTAGCAATAATTATCAATAATTATCGATAACCTAACAAGGATGGTCAATAATTATTGAGATTGTTATCAATTTTGAGTAGTAACTTTTACTAAAATATTGAATAATCTGTTAGATAATTTATTAAGAAAACCCATGAATGAAACATGAAATAATGAATAATTTTATTAATAAAAAAATATAAAATATCTTTCACTTATTACTTAATTAATACATAAAATATTTTTCTTATTAAGCAATATATAAATCATATTTTAGACTAGTAAACTCAAAATTAAAATATTTTTAATGAATTTATAATTTTATCTTTTTTATTTTATATAAATATTTATATAATAAATTAAAATTATATCATTTATGCACTGTATCACATAATTAAATAAATAAAACTAATCAACACATCACATTGATCACAAACTAATTTTAAAAAAATGATTATATAAAATCTAAAATAATATGATGTCTATCCAAATCCACTTTAATTCGAAATAATTTGAAACCAAGATTGAAAAGATATTTATTTAATATATAGTAATATTAATATAATTTTAACTTACATTCTTTAATTTAATATGAATATAATTATATAATGTTTTAACTATTACCGATGGATTTTTTTTAAAATTGACAATTAATTTAAAAAAAATTATTAAAATAATATATCGATAGAAAAAATTTTTATCGATGAAAAATTCTATCGAAAAATTACTAATGGAATTTTATAATACCGATAAAATTATATTACCAATAAAACTAACACCAACTTAAAAATTTTGTCGATAAATCTGTCAGTAATGTTATTACTGATGAAAAACGAAGTATTACCGATGAAAATTTTTGCAAATTTTCTGATAGAAAACTTACATTCTAAAACATACATTTTAAATGCCAATAGAGTATTAGTTCATATGCCATGTACTTAACCAAACTTAGGAGGTTGTAAGTTTTAGGAGATTTAGGTGTATAATATCCTAATAGGATGAATTAAATAGATAGAAGTTAGGATCAATGGTAGATAAAATTTTTTAAAAAGATTATATTCTAACTTACACTCTTTCACACTTAATCACTTATATTTATTTAATATATAAAATTATTAATATAATATAATATAATAGATTAGAGATCCACATATAGCAATGTAAATTTTACACTCTTTATTGATTCTTGGATCAAAATTAATCCATAACTAATTTAAATTAAAATAATATTTTTAATTTTAAAAGAGTGTAAAACTTATATAAGTGGATCTTTCTTAAATATTATAACATAAAAAAGAATTCACTTTAAGTCAATGTAAGTCTTACACTCTTTTTAACTTTTGAATCAAATGGCTAAAATTAAAATTATTATTTTCATCCAAATCAATAATTTATTTAATTTTGATCCAAAGATTAAAAAAAATGTAAAACTTAGACTAATGTAAATGAATCTCTTTGCATAATATAATATATAAATAACAATCAAATCAAAATCTTTGGTTAGACACATTCAAAAAATTTGCCTGTAATTTATGTCTAAGTCTATTTAACCAATCTAATATTTCTATTCAATAGATAACTCAAACCTTGTTCAGTTTTAATTCAATCCAAAGTCAATTCAATCGAAAACCACCTAAACCCAAGTCTAATATATACCTAAACCCAAGTCTAATATATATATATATATATAAATATATATATATTTATATAAAAGAGGAATTAACTTACACAGTGCAAAACTTATTTAATTGTTCTCCACATTTTGGTCTAAGGAGGTTTTATGAGGATATAGAGATTTTAGTTTCGAGCCAAGATCTTCTTTTCCTTGTATCTTTATAAGGGCTATGCCCTCTCCTTAAGCAAAAAGAGAAAAATTTTTGTTTAATTTTACATTTTTTTAACTATTAATTTCAAAAAATCCAAAAGACGAGATTAAATTATTTTTTTCTATTTTTACTCTTCTCTCATTTTTCTATAATGCATTATTAGAATATGAATAAAATTTTACTACTTTTATATCCATTTAAACTTCACATGTACAATTAGCTTAAGATTGTTATTTATCACAGCAAGTTTTAGCAGATTCCAAATATAATAACATTGGTGCAGTAAACATTATTCGACTATTTTCGTAGATAAATTGTGCTCAATGTTCTAAAAGAATATATACTATATTTGTAACTTTTCCTATTTCTCTCCTTCAACCTTCTCTTCTTTTCTTTGTTTTAGTAAGCTCTCACAATGTTGATTATCCCTTGAAAATTTTAAAAGGTTCGTCTTCTACAAATTCTTGGAACAGGAGCCCTATTGTTATCCTTCCTTCTGAAGCCATGTTCCGTGACGTTAGTGGCAATAACAATCAGGGCTAGTCCGGTTGTTGTAATCCCCTGCACCTTGGTGTGTGTGCTAATCTGCTGGGTGGTTTGGTGAATGTTGACTTGGCAATGTGCCAACCAAACCATGATGCAGCCTGATCCAAAGGTTGGCCGATGTTGAAGTTGCTGTTTGCCTCTGCACTGCCATCAGAGCTAATGTCTCAGGCATTAACCTCAACCTTCCTATTTCATTGAGCCTCCTTCTCTATAATTGCGGAAGGAAGGTATTTTTTGATTGCTTGTGCAGCCCAGAATTTTTCTTACAAGTATTCAATCAGAAATGTTTGGGACTGTTAACATGTTGGGGCTTGTCTTAATTAATTCTTCAATAATTCTATAATGTTGTTGCTGCTTTTACGAAATTGATTCATTCAAAATGTATTCTTTATTCTTATTCTTGTTCAATTTATTGTGTAACAAGAGATATTTACAAAAAAATTATTTCATTCTTGGGGCACTTATTTATTTATTTTAATTTATGATATGAGTATTTGCTATATCTCTTGTCTACGTTTTTTTTTTCTGTTAATTCAAAGGTAGTTGAGTAAAAAAATTATAGTCTATTCCTTTCCTTTATACTTTATAGTATTTCCCATTTATAAATTCACACAGCTCAATTTTTTAATTTTTTTTATTTTATTATAAATAATAATAAAGGGTAACTCAATTTTTTAATTTTTTAATTCTATTATAAATAATAATAAAGGGTTTTACTTAAGAGTGTTAAAATAATTTTTAAGATTAATTAAATTATTATTTATAGTAATATTTTAAGAATTAGTATTTGATATACTATCAATGTAAAATTTTTATCACATGGGTGGAATTAAGATGGTAACACATGTTTTATTTTTTTAATTAGATTTTTTTTTAAATATACTTTAAAGGACATATGTCGTTTTCTTACCTCCGTTTGTGAAATTCAAATTTGATACTGACAGTGGCACTTGTTGAAAAAACTAAACTTATTGGTTTTTCTAACTCCTCTTTTTCTGGAAGCAGCGTTGGGTACAAATTCATCATTTACATGAAGAAGCATGTGGATGGCTCGAAATATCATTGAATTAGATATATTCTGCTGCTACAACTGCAACGGAACAGGAAGATGGACAAGCAGACGACAAGTTTCGACAAGCATGCCTCAAAGGCTGTAATGTAGCAAGGGAAGTATGGGGATGCTGTCAATGTGGATGATGCCTGGAAATGTGCTGAACATGAAGCTGAAAAGGGATGGCTGTTCAATGTATCTAGGAAAGTTGAGCAGGGAAACAAGCAAGTTGCATTGGTGGCTTGTTTGGCGATTTGGTGTAGCAGGAACCAAGCAGTTAAGAACAATGTAAGCAGGAAAGCAGAGGAAACAACTGCATTTATTGCCAAATATCTGGAAGACTATAAAAGAGCCAAGGTAAGCACTACAATTAACTCTATGGGATAGGTGGCTCGATGGAAAGCACCAAAGGAAGGTTTATGCGGAATCGGCATGGTGATCAGGGATGAAACTACTGAAAAACGAATCAGAGATCTATAACGGCAAAAGCATCAGTTTTCATAATTTAAAGTAAACCACTGATGATCATCAACCACTCTTATGCTTTCCACACCATACATACACACAGTAACTGCGTGAGATAGAGAGAGTTAAATCCAAAATTAGGACGTGACAAAATTTTAGAGTTAAAAGACTTAAATCCAAATCATTCAGATTTTAATAAAAATTTAATTTAATAGGTTCAAATTCTTTCTTGACCTGTCATAGAAAGTCAGTTACAACTTGGTAAACAACCAAGGATCTGAATGACAGTCTATCACTGATATGATGCTTAAATAACAAAAAAAAAAGAAAAAGAAAAGGGATGCGAATTTATCAAATCTGGAAAATGGGGTTCCACAGATCTGAAAAAGAAAAAATAGCCTTGAACATTGTCACCATATCAGTCTCAATAAATATCATTTGTTGCTATAGCTTAAAATCTATGATTCCAAGACTTGAGCACAATTATAACTACTATGTCCATTTCAAGATCTGCCAATAGTTGGAAGCAGAAACTCTCCCCACCATTATTTGGTGGTTTAACTTTATAAATATGAACTATCCAGTTTAGGACTGCTTAGAATATTTACTAGCAGGTACACATTATAAATTGTGTCTAGATTTACTGCAGCAATGTTGATTGAGAAGAGATCATTCATATTAACACTTTGATAGCCTTCACAATTTCTGAACTAGTGCACAAAAAGATTCACCTGTTGAATCACTAGACAATAGATCCACTACCATGGCTGCTGTGGATGCATCCGTAGAAAATCCTTTCTTAACCATTTCATGAAGAATTTGTATTGCCCTCGATGTGTCATTGTTATGAAGACATCCTTTGATCATGGTATTATAAGAGCAACTATTTTGCATGCAACCATCCACTTCCATTCTCCTAAACAATTCATATGCTTCATTCAGCAGCCCTTCTCTACAAAGTCCTTTGATCATTGTACTATATGTGTAAACAGTGGGCTGTACCCCTTTGACTGTGAGTGCATAAAATAATTTCCTAGCAACTTTAAGTTGCCCAACTAGACACAAGCCATCAATTAAGATATTGTAGTGGACAATATCAGGTTCTAGCCCACTGTTCTGCATTGCATGAAAGAATCCCAATGCCTCATGAATATGACCATGCTTGCATAAGCCATACAACAAGGAAGAGTAAGTGATCGCATTTGGTACTAGGCCATAAGCACACATTTCTTCAAAAATTTCTTGTGCAGTTGCAAGTCTCCCAATATGTGACATGCCATCTATAAGAGTGCCATAAGTAACAACATCAGGGACTAATCCATTTCGAGTCATTTCATGAAAAAGCTCCACTGCCTCATCTATCCTTTTAGCCTTACAATATCCATTAATAATGATACTGTAACTGACTACACTAGGTTCACAACCCTTATAAGTTATTGAATTGAATAATTTTCTAGCCTCATCCATTTCACCTTGTAAACAATATCCATCCATCAATGAATTATATATAACTATATCAGGCTCAATACCTTGTTGAATCATTCTCTCAAGAATATCTTGAGCCTCTAAAACCCTACCCTCTTTACAAAGTGCATCAACCACAATACCATATGTGATCACATTGGGTTTGCAATTGCTAGCCACCATTTCTTTGAATAATGCTGTAGCTTCCTTCCACTGACATGAATTACACATGGCATGAATTAAAGAATTATAAGTGACTACATCAGGTGGAATTCCTTTACCTCTCATTTCAGAGAAAAGCTTCAAAGCCTCAGTTACATTCTTGTCCTTACAAAGGCTGTTGATTAAGGTAGTGTATGTTATGGTGTCCGGTGCGCAACCTCTTTCTGCCATAGTCCTTAGCAATCTAATAGCACAAGTAGCTTCTCCTACTTTACAAAGACCGTTCACTATCATATTATAAGTAATTAAATCAGGCTGATACCCTTCTCGAGTGACAACGTCATCAAACAACCTCACAGCTTGAGCTACTTTACCTCTAATGCAAAGGCCATTGATCAAAGTGGAGAATGTTATAACATTAGGTTGAATGCCCAGCTTCAACATTTTCCCCAAAACAGAAAACCCAAAATCCATTCGATGCAAGCGGCAAAAACAATTAACCAAGATGTTGAGAGTATAAACACTGTGATGAATTTCTAGTAATTCCATTTGTCTCAACAGAGAAACACCAATTTCATAATGCTTCATTCTAACAATGGCTGATAATAATTTACTAAATTCAACAATACAAGGTCGAGGATGGGTATGAAGCATGTGATCGAACAAAGCCAAGGCATCATCAATTTTATCAAACACATACTTGGATTTCTTGGAAGGGGTGGTAAAGAAGTAAGATTTTTGAAAATAGAAGAGAGACCTTTCCCTATTTAAAGCAGAAAAGCAATTCAACAAAGAAAAGGGAAGAGAATTGACAGATTTGGGGTTACTCAATTCCAAATGTTGAAGAAGATCAATGGCCGAAGAGGACGGAAGAGAAGCGATTCTCCAAAAATTCATCATCATCATATTCACCAAACCAATGCAAAGCTCCGATTCTCCTTCAACACTCCAATTACTTGCCGGATGATACACTCGGATACACACAGACTTCAAACTTACATGTGGGTCCATTTAAACCATTTGCTATTGCTTGGGAAAAAATATTTTATTTAAGTGAATTTTTTATTTTTAATATATGCACAGAATCGTGAGAAAGAATTTCCTTACACTAATATAATTTTAAATTTTTTTAAATTTTTACATCAAAATTAAATCTATGATTTATTTGAAATTAAATTTATGAATCAAAATAATATTTTTAAATTTAGTAATTTTGACTAAATAATTCAAAAAATTATAAAAATTACATTAGTATAAGTGAATTTATATATATATATTTGATTTTAAGTAGATTCTTAAGGTTTTGGATTGAATTAGACTTGTTTAAGGGTTGCTCACCCAAAATTATACTTAAACTTTTTAAAAAAATTTGAATACAAATATCAAATCAATTAAATGGGTTGAACATAAATAAAAGACATTTTTTAAAATAAATTTAAATTAAAGACTCATATATGACCCAATAGTTATTTTATTAAATGAGTTTAGATTAAAGATTCAGATATAACTCGATAGTTATTTATATATATTTTATATTTATGCCCCACTACTTGTGGGTTAATTAAATTATTTTATCATTCTATTTAATGAAAATTTTTACCATATGAATCACATTTAGAAATATTTTCTAACTTAAAAACTTAAAAAATTATCATTCATGATTTTTAAGAATTTCATTATCAAATTTATTATTTTTTTAAAAAAGTCTAAATATTAATTCTAAAATTTATTTTATTATTTTTATCAATTTCTCACTTTTATTTAATTATTGCCTAAAAATAAATGTTAATTATCATTATTAAAGCTTTATTTAAAATTTTTCATCATTTGGATCAAATTTTAAAAAACTTTTTATATAAAATTTTCTTAAAAAATCAATTATTTGTGATTTTTATGAATTTCATCTTTAAAATAATTTTATTTATTTTCAAAATTTTATCATCCTTGAAATAATCAAAATTTTAATATATTTTATTTTTGGCTCAAAAATTAATATCAATTATCATTATTGAATTTTTTTTCTAAAATTTTCTTTAGTTTGGGCAAAATTTAAAAAAATATCTTGTATAGACTTTTCTTAGAAAAGCAACCATTATTATTATTAAAATTTCATCATTAGAATATTTTTATTTATTTTCAAAATTTTATTATATTTTTTCAATTTAAAGAATTATTATTTTTTAACTAATCAAAATCTATCTTAATTTAAAATTTAAATAAGTAACAAATTAAACTAAATTTAAAAGTACAAAATAATTAAATAAAAACAAAACAAAATAAAACATACAAATAAAGTAAAATAATTAAAAATAGAAACAATGAATAAGGTTACAATGATAATTTAACAGCATTGAATAAGTGTCACATGAAGAATCCTTAGGGGACTCTTTTAATCTAGTGTAGTATAGATATATTAAATAAATATAAGTGATTAATTGTGAAAAAATGTAAGTTAGAATGTATTTCTTTTAATTTTTAATCTACTATTAATCCCAAACCCTATCTATTTAATTAATCTAATAAGTATATTACACATCTAAATCTTCTAAAACTTAAACTTTCAAAGTTTTACCAGCATACATACCATATGAGCGGCTATTTTATTGGCAGTTAGAATGTATATTATATAATTATATTAATATATATTAAAGAATGTAAGTTAATATTAATATATAATAAACAAATACCTTTTAGCATGGTTTCAAATCATTTCGTACTAAAGTGAATTTGGATATATTTTATATTATTTTAGATTTTACATAATATTTTTAAATTTATTTTATGACTAGTGCGATGCTTTGGTTAGTTTTATTTATTTAATTATATGATTGCATAGATAATATATTATATAAATATTTATAAAAATTTTAAAAATAAAATTATAAATTCATTAAAAATATTTTAATTTTTAGTTTGAGAGTTTAAAGCATTATTTTTGTATTGCTTAATGAGAAAAATTATTTTATGTATTAATTGAGTAATATTAATGAACATTTATCTTGGAATAACTGAATATATTAAAAAAGTTAGTTATTCAAATAGGTAATAAAATAATTTTTAAAATATTTTAATTGATTATTATTTTATTATAAAAATTAAGAAGTAATTTATTAATTATTACATAAATTATAGCATGTTGATTGAAAAAAAAGATTTTTTTTGTTAAAGAGATAAATATATTTTTATATAACCATTGAAAAAGATAGGAGACGTGAGCTAAAACCAAAAGGAATTAAAAAAAATAAAATTAAGTAATATGTACATTTGAAAGAAACATTACAAACTAAAAAAAGAAAAACAAAAAGTACATGACGCATATCATTTATAGGTTTAATTATATATATACATATATATATGTGTGTGTGTGTGTGTACGAGAAGAAAGCACTTACATATTTTTATACGATTTATATTCTTAAATTTTACAATTGTATTTCATATTTTATTCATGTAGAATTATACATGTCAAATTATATTTACTGAAAAAATTATGTTTTTACATAGCCATTAAAAATAGTTAAAAGATGTGAGCATTGTGCCAAAAGTAAAAATTAATGGAAAAAATTTATAAAATTAAGTAATATATATCTTTGAAAAAAGTTATAAAATAAAAAAAATGTAACAAATATCATTTATAGGCTTAAAATCGGAGGATAATTGTTAGATGACAAATATGTGTGTTTGTGTGTGAATATATATGTAAGGAGAAATATCTACTTATATCGATGAAAAAATACTATAATTGTATACCTTGCATAATTTTTTGTATACTTTATATTTACTTAATTTGATTGTTTTATTTCATACTTTATTCATGTAAATAAATGTATGCCAAATTTTGAGTCAATATAAAATGTTTAACTATTTATCTAATATAAAAATTTTAGTCATTAAATATATATTTAGAAAAAAAATTCTCAAATCAATATGATATGATAAAAATATCAAATTGATTTCAAACTTTAGGTGTACGACAAATACTATTCTTCTGTTAAATTAACTAGTTGATACATGATTACACTAAATTTTTAGTGATTTATCATATCTTTTTAGGGCATTTTAGGATAAATATTTGCTTGTTCATTAATAAATTTGGCAAAAATACTCCTAATTGCATAAAAATTCAATATGTTGGTAAAAATATGAGAAAAGGTAAAAATGAGAGCTTTCGAACACATTTTGGATGCATTTTTATGCAAAAAGCTTTCACTAGGCTAAAACTAGTGTGCATTTGCTCAAATCCCTGACATGGGAGATTCTTCTACCTTTTCCTTCATTACTTCCTTTACTTAATTGAGCTTAATTGAACTTTAATTCAAGTTTTGATTGTAGAAACTTAATTTTGTCTGGACAAATTCTAACTAGTTGTGTAGCCTTTAAAGTTTGATCCAGTTCGAATTCAACATTGATAAATTTTAGAAATTGAATTCAAGATCAATTTGACTTAAATGTCCTATGGTCAAACTTAATCAAATAAAATCAAAACTGGTCAATCGGTTAAATTTGGTCAAATTTGGGTTAATCCTTGGAATTCACAACCTATGGGATTATCAAGGCTTAGAATTAATATTCTTGGGAATTTGATGCACCAAAATCCTTGACTGTACCTCAGAAATGGTAAAATTATTAAAATGCCTGTTAGGGGTATTTTCATAATTTTAACTTTCATGATGTTGGATTTTCGTGAGAGATTCCAGATCATATTTTTATATTATTTCATGATTTTTTATGCTTTAAAAACCTTGATCACACCTTGAAATGTAAAAATTACCAAAATACCATTTCGTGGTATTTTCGTAATTTGATCTTCTTAAGATCAAATTTTTGTGAAAAACTCTAGATCATATTTTTAAATTATTTTATAATTTATGGATATTAAAAATCTTGATTACACCTTGAAAAGTATAAAATTATCAAAATATCCTTTAAGGATATTTTCATAATTTGACCTTCTCAATGTTGTTTTTTCATGAAAACTTTCAGATCATGTTTTTATATTATTTTATGATTTTTGGCGTATTGAAAACCATGATCGCACCCCGAAATGTGTGAAATTATTAAAATACCTTTTTAAGGGTATTTTTGTAATTTAACCTTTTTGAGGTTGATTTTCCACGAAAACCTTCATATCGTGTTTTTATATTATTTTATTATTTTTGGTGTATTAAAATCATGAAAACAATGATGGGATCATAGTTTCCAAGAAAATCATGCAAAAGGCCTAAAAACACTAACAAAGGCAAAATTGTCATTTCACATGTCATAAAGGGATTGCTACACATACAGCCAACATAATATGCTGTGAATAAATAGTACCATTAGATTTTAAAAGACACTAATCCGATAGCCCATATTGTGAGCTTACTCACTAAGTTTAATAAAAGAAGACAAAATGACTTTGTACCATTTGATGGGATTTGATCGAAAGGCCATTAGGGGGCTTCTCTTTTTTTATTTTAAGTAGCAAAAAGGCAGTCGTGTTAGATGGAAAAGAGAAAAAAAATATACATATATATAAGGGAAAGGCAAAAAAAAAATGGAATAAAAGGGGAGAAAATGAGGTGAAAGGAAAGGAGTTGGGAAAAACTAAGGTAGCTTTTGTTTATCGTTATTTCTTTTGATTGTCTTTATACATGGAACTTCAAGAAACATGGATTTCTTTTTCTTCTTTACTTGGTTTTGTGTCAAAAATGGGAGCTTGGTTTCAAAATGTAAATGTTTTCCATGAATGAAAAGGAAGAGTTTTAAAGTTTAAAAGATTTGTTTCCTAGTTTACATAGCTATATATAAGAGCTTTGTATTGAATCTTTTTTTCCATTTTCTTTTTTTTTTTGAACCAAATTTCGTGAATGATTTGATTTTGGTCAAGAAGCTTCATTTTTGTTCTGTTTTCTTTACTCAAAATTGGTTTGTATGAATTTTTTTTTTGGTTTTATCCATAATGGTTGTTTTGAAAGCTTAAAGCTTGGACGTTTTTGTGCTTAAAAAATGTTTTTTTTTATTCTGTCTTCTTGTTGGCTATTTAAGGATGTTTTGGCTCAAGTTTTAAGTTCTTAAGTTCAGTTTTTATGATAAAGATTGAAGTTTTTATGGTAAAGT